CTGTCCGAGATTTAGTTTAGCTCTGCGTCGCGTCGCTGCGCGCTGATAGTCGTTTACAGCGCAGCGGATAAATAATACTGTATCGTAGTTCTGCTTTCAGTCGGCAGAGTGGGTGGTTGCCGGAGACAGTGTTGCCAGAACAACGGATTAATCAGTAGATTTACGGATTTTTGCGTACAGTACATTAATAATACGGATTTTCTATCATTAAACAATTTAATATAATATTATATGATTAAACAAAGAACGGCGTCACAGTTGGCTTAGAAATGAAGATCGCTGTTACTTCATATGTAAAATATTATGCTAAATGTCAATAATCGTCATTTCCAAATTTCCAAGCCAACTAAACGACTTTTTTCGATCATACAAAATAATCAGCACCTATAAAAGAATTTTTATTTTTGATGTTTATTCTATGTTTAACACGAATAAATTTTCAATACATAAACGCGGATTTTTCATCCAAAGAAAATTTTCGTCAAACGTATTACAGATAATATTACACATTTTAATATGGCAACACTGTCGCTTTCAGTTCCACAGCGTCTTCGATATGCCTTCGCTAGCCGAATTAGAGAAAATTAGTGTTTTTTGCGTTAGCCGCAGAACGAGTAAAGGCTCCACCGTACAGCACTTGAGACGCAGGGGGCAATCAAAGTCCTCCTTGTTGCGAATTTACCTTTTAGGTTGCGTATCTTCCCAATTCTTTCAATCAACTATTTGACTTCTCTCTTTAGCATTGTTTTATTCAGTAATGGCGATATCCTCAGATGATTAAATACGCCAGAAACCAGTAGGATATAGTATAATTATTAATAATGTTTTTTTTTTATTTTATTTTAAGAACCTTGTATGCTGCGCTGCTGACGTTTTAGAAGGAAAGGGATTGGTCCAAGTCGCGATCACCGTGACAGAACTTCTTCGATTTCATTCGCCCAGATCTCCGTTGCATCCTGTCGCCATATCGACAGTTGTTTAGATGTTTTGTTTCTCGTTATTATTTTTTACATTCATTATTTTATATTTACCAAATTTAGTTATAAGTAGGCATAAAAGCTCAGCTATATTTTTCCATTTTAAGCGTTCTCATTTATATATGTATTTATTTATTTTTTCGTACGTTTTTATAAAAAATAAATCGAAAAATTCAGTTTAGAACTATGTAGTACATTTTTTGTGTTTTGTAAAGTTTGTTAATATGACTTGATAACAGTGTGAGTTTGTAAATATTTCAAATACAATTCTAAGCAAACTTGATGAAATAGATCTTTAAAAATCGTTCCTTTTTATGGGAAACAACTTAATAACTGTTGCCAATTCATATTAAATTTTTCACTGTATCTTTCTTTGTGTTTAAAAAAGACAATGTTATTTTTAGATATTTTTTAAATCGATTATAAGAGTAGGCATGTAAAACACTTAAAAAAGACTTGTGGAATATAGAAACCAAAAAATATTTAGCCTCTAATCGTTTTACATGTTTCTCTTTAATGTTAAAGTGTTTATTTTTTTAAGTTTTTTTTCTATGTTTTGTGTCAAACAAAAAAAAACATATCTTAAAATATTCCTAATTACGTGTACGTACAAACATTGAAAACGTTTTCTTCTTCTGCAGATACATACTTAATTTATTTATTAAAATTTATTTAATTCATATTTATATATACATATATCTATCAGGCGATACAGACTTGTCTAGATGACAATAATAATAAATAATCAAACATTTTTTTTTTCTTTATCATAGTAGGTCATTAGTTAAATTTGTTCATAAAAAGCTCAATTTCATTATCTGTTTGGCAGTGTAGTGTGTGAAGGTAAATTCTCTGTAAAAGGTGCCAAAGATTACAGTAAATAGATAGGTCTATAATTTTATGAAATAATATAAGTTCTTATATTGTGCTAATGTCGGGTAAAAACGCATATATTTGAAGCAGAAATCTTTAAAAAAAATTATATGTTTATATTTCCTAATTTTAAATATAGAAATAATTTTTAATCACTTAGTTCTAGTGATAGATGATAGCAATGTAACGTTTATTTGAACATAAAATGTGATTTCATGGCCTGCTTGATCATATTTATTTATGATTACACCCTATATAATGCATAAAAAAGACAAAATGATTTTTCTAAAGATTTCTGCGATTTTGCCTAAAATAATATTACTATTTTTATAATTAGCACATTCTTGTAGTATACTTATCTTATTCTGCTTTTATTATAAAAAAATTGTACCAGAAGGCATACTTATGTATTTAAGTTTAAATCGCATTTCTATTCTTTATTGTCGAAATAGGTAGTTTTGAAAAGTTACATGTATTGTGTAATTACGTTATTCATACAGAATATCCCAAATAAAATTGCGTTTAATTTGAACCTAATATTGTTTGGTTAAAAACTGTCATTTTATTTTCAGTAGAACTCTAAGAAATCTTTTGAGAGATATCAAAAAACATTTTTTTTAGAAATTTAAAATTTCATGTTGCAAAGTTCATTGAAATGAGAATTATACGTCTTGTGGAGTTGCTAGATTACTTATTAGTGTAATTATATTTGGGATACCCTGTATATCTGTTAATAAATTGTAAAGACTGGGTACTTAACGACGTGAAAATTCCGAATACCATCGAAGACTATCGATCGTATTTAAGTTGTGATATATCAAGTTTATGTTAGTGATACCGGAAATGTTTCTTTTTGTAGAAATCTGTTAGATAGTACACTATCGTTCTCTTCAATAGAAGTTATGTAAGTTTCAGATAGGTAGATACGAATTGGAAATCACGCAGTTTATTAACGAAAAATTACGTCTAGTCAATTCAGAATAAAAGTTTTTTACTTGAAAATTTAGTGTTTTATTAGGTTTTTCCATTTTTTAGATCCCATTAAAGGTAGTATCAGACATAGCTACTTTTGTTGCGCAGCACATTAAAAAACTGCGCAACTTGATATGCTGCAAGTGTGAATACAACGTTGCGGTCGCAGCTTGGTTGCGTAGGCTACTTTTTTGTTGCGCGCAGTTTAAGAAATAGCCGTGTGTGAACAGTTGTTGAGGAAGGTTGCGAGTGCAGCAAAAGATTACTAATCAGTTGAAACTTTTATTGTGCACACACATTGGTGCAGTATTCTGTTGTACCAGGATTTATATGTAGGTATTTAGTAAAGAATTAACCGAGACAAATTGCGATGTCGAAGTCAAAACAAGCGATTTGGAACAGAGAACAAGTAAAATGTTTAATAGAAGCGGTAGAAGCAAGGGAGTGTTTATGGAACGTAAAAAGCCCATTCTATCACAACCAAAAGAAAAGACACTAGCCGCTATTTCGGAAATTTCTTCTGAATTACATATACCCGATGAAGACATAAAAAAGAAAATTCACATGTTGCGTGCACAATGTTCGAAGGAACGTTCAAAAATGAAAAGTGCCAAATCCGGTTTGCTCTCCTAAAAGGTACACACGATACCTTGAGCTGTGGGTGGTGTACTGTTGAATGTTGCCCCTCCAAGGCTGCGGCTACCAAAATATGTTGCAAAAGTAGCGCCATGGTGTGAACATATGAAAAGCATGTAGTGTCGACCTGCAACTTTTTTAGTCAGCTGCTGCATAAAAACTGCGCGTTTTGGGCTACTTTCTGCTGGTGTATGAACACTGTATGCAACTTTTGCATCGGCTGCAAAAAAGTTGCGCAACAAAATCAGCACCTAAAGTTAGACGTTGCCGATCGTGTACATTGTAGCTACAATCTGCCCAATGAGAATATATGCCAGGGACTTCAGTTTAAATTCAAAAGTAAGGGTCTGCCGTTTAAATTCAAAAGTAAATTGTTTTTCTGTCAATTTTTGAACATCGTCTAACCCTGATCACTTCATCTGCATGGTCTGTATTTTAATGCATGTAACAGAGATAGATATAAATGGCCGGTTGACAGACAGAGAGACAAAATAAAAACCGGCATACAGTGTTGCCAGTTTTTACGTTTGTAGAAAAATGTGCGTAAAAAAATAAATTATTTTAAAAACTTTCATGTATACTACTGAAATGAAGATAATAAATCTAAGCTAAATATAATCTATTACAGCTGTAGAAAAAATGAGTAACTAATTGTGAAAAATAAAGTTTGAACCCTACATTTAATATTATTTATAAACGCCTACTTGTGCGGTTTGAAATTTTGATGCAAAATACCGGATAGGAGAAACGTATCAACCCAGCATTTATCTCTTTTTAATACATTTGATTTTCCATTAAGCCGTCGACATCGACATCATTGTCTTACACGTTAAATTCCAGACCACGCAGTTTCGATGACCAGATCGGTATACAGGGTGGTCAGAACTGTATTCCGGAAACTTCGGCAACATATTCTGAAAATTTCCTAAATTCTAAAAACTCTCAGACACCTATTTTCATCCAAATATTGATGTTAGTTCATAAATTATTTGAAAAAAAATCGAAATAAAAATGAAACTTCTACACCTTGTATTTCCGAAACTAAGCATTTTAGGACATACATTTATACGAACTTTTTTACTTATTTTTATCTGCAGAATATGCTGTCGAAGTTTCCGGAATACAATTCGGTCCACCCTGTATATTTTATACCAAGAGATGATAGTCTCTACAAATACTCTTGAAAAATTGTGAAGTACAGTCCGTCTGCTGGATCCATAGAGGTTTGGGCTGGATCTGTGTCTATGAAAGGAATGCGGACAAAAAACATTTAAATAAATAGCAATATATTTTATACGTCGACTTGGCGAGTACGTCACCGCAAATCGCTCCGCCCACTCATTTTATTGGCTACTTGCAAATTTGTCGAATTTTTATTGATGGGACGCGTCGTCTAATTTTTTACGAAAAACTTTGAGTAAATATCTTTTCCCCTCACGGATACCACGTAGCTACAGAACGGACAGACGTACTGTAAGCTACTGTTTTAGCAAACTGTGTATGGGAATATGCCATATATTCATCTACTTTTTATCTCAGATATCTATTAAGCTTCTTAAACAGTTTGATAACGTGCTAGACGGTAATAATATACAACAGCTCAGTTTACTCATACTGCTCGTCATTGTACCAGTTTGCAGACTGATAAAGAATGAATTTAACAAATTATCTCGATATATTTAAACTTACATTACTAATATAATTAATTAATATATTATATCATTATTTGTGTATGATTTAGTGTAAGTATTATAAATGTTGCAACTAGAAATATACAAATAACAGTATCGTTTTATAGGGAATAAATATGCGAATGTACAAAAAGCTTTACGCTGGATGTTTGACAACGACATTAGCTTCAACATTCGTAGCTTTTTCCATAATATGGATTATAATACCCCTCTCATTTAGGTGGTCGCTGCCTTTTCAAACTTTTATGGTCTTCATTCCCATAGAATCGCCAAGAAATCCGCAATTCTCTCAGCCCGAAGAGGTCTATAGCATTCAGGGAGTACAGAATTTTTATAAAACTGTCCATGACGAACCAAGAAATGCCCAGACATCCATAGGGATGTGGTTAATTTTACATGAAGATGATATTACCAATACTTTATCTGTTGAAGACGTGATCAGTGACAGTTCTCGAGATATCTTGATCTACCTCCATGGAGTATACGCCAACAGAGCAAAACCTCTTCACCAATACAGCGTGTTCAGGAAATACTTCCTCGTTATTGCTATCGATCACAGAGGATATGGTGATTCGGGTGGTAATGTTGACATGACCGAGACAGGTATAGTGAGAGATCACGTGCAGTTATACAATTGGGTACGCTCTCTGAACCCCACGGTAGATATATACTACTGGGGTCATTCTTTGGGCACTGCCCTAACTACTCACACGTTAAAAGTGCTAAAGGAAGAACAGAATGTGGTGCCAAAAGGTCTGATTCTGGAAAGCCCGTTTACTTCAATGGAAGATGTGATAAGGAACATAGTTTTCGGTAAAATATTTGAATGGTTGGCGTATTTCGAAAGTACGATATTACAACCTCTTAGAGATAATCAACTGGTGTTCCTTTCCTATCAACATATCACGTCTATTGACTGTCCTATTATGATTTTACATGCTGAAGATGACTCTGTGGTGCCGTACAAATTGGGGGTGCTTTTGGCGGAGATTGCTAATAAAACACGAACGGCGAATCAAGGTGATGTAGTTTTTCATGGATTTTCGGATGATTTGGGACACGGTCATGATGATATTACGAGGAATCCGGGGATTTACCGAATGATAGAAGAGTTTAAAGACGCATGTGAGCAGTTTGGTAGTCAGTAATAATTTTTTTGTAATTTATTTATTTAATTATACAATTTTTATTTACAATGTCGCGGTTTTAATTAAAATATGATTTTACTCATTGTGTATTATTAAATATCAAAAAGTAAGGAGTAAACATAATTTTATAGTGAATTCTTGAGTTAATTTATTGCACAGGTATTAATTTCTTCTATATTTCATATCTATTCGCAGAAAAGAAATACAAAAATAGCTGCAAATTTTCTAGTTAACATATCTTAATTGAAAATATAATACTCCTATAATGTATGACCACCCAAGATAGCTGTCATTTTATATATAAAATTATACAGGAAATATATCATTATACTGTGTAATTTAAAATTCGAAAAATATTTTATAATATATTTTTTGAGAATAGATTTGTGTGTGCAAACGTTCAATTCTTTTTTAATCTTTCTATAATTAGTGAAATTTTTGACAAATTTTATGTCAATTTTTAGTAAACGACGTCTAGAGATTGACCTCGTCAAAATCATCATCGATTGTCATTCCCCAGCCCGTTTGACGTCGTTTCTTTCAGATCATACAGTATTTAATATTTTCATAGATATACGGGGTGTTTCGAATATATTATTGCACAAAACTTTTATTTTCTTTTAACTAGAATGTTTATATTTTTTGCTTGGTGGATCTGCTACAAAATTCCATTCCCCAAAATGCAATAATTAATTAAATTCACATGCACGATTTTTGGAACACAGATATTCATATTAAAAATAAGCAATTTTTCAATAGTTTTATTAACAAATATTAGTAGCGTAAAAAACATTTTATTTCTTATTATAATAATTAATTAAAGACACAGTCAAAATGTATTTAATTATTCTAAATCAGTTAATATTAATTTAACACTTAAATACACACACCGGAAAAGTCTAGGGATATTACAATTTTATCCAGCCATCGTCAGTAATTTTATTATTTGCATTTCTGATATAATAAAATTAAAAAAAAAACAAATAGTTTACAGGACGTATTGGAAATAAAAATGCGAAATTTACCGAATTTTTCAAATTTACCTTGATTTTTATTGAACTCAAAAAAATACACACATTTTTTTTTATTTTAAACTGTGAATTAAAAAAAAAAGATAAAACTATTTTTACTTAACAAAGGGTATAGCCTCCTCTACTGTTCATTACAGCCCTACATCGTCTCTCCATGCTCCTGATCAGGTTGTCGATCTCTTCTTGAGGTACAGCCTGCCACGCTGCATTCACGGCCCGAACCAGATCCCTACGAGTTTCACGAGGCATGTCCATTCTCAAAATTCTTCTTTGGATGACGTCCCATACGTACTCGATGGGGTTGAAGTCAGGAGATTGTGCCGGCCAGGGTAAGATGTTTAATTGATGAGCATTGATAAACTCACTTACCACTCTGGCTGTATGAGGCCGAGCATTGTCATGCATGAGAATGAAGTTTCTCCCAAAATCATTGGCATATGGTAACACGACAGGCTCAAGAATTAAATCACGATATGTGATTCCTTTTAGAAATCTTTCAAGAAAAACGAGATCGGTTTTTCGGCCTAACTGGACTCCTCCCCAGACCATAACTGTTCCACCTTGATAAGGGTGCACTTCCTGAACATGATCCAACCGAATAAGATTTCCCGGTTCTCTCCATACCCTAAGCCTTCTCGAATCCGGATGAATTCCCAAGCGTGACTCATCCGTGAAGAGAACATTGGCCCATTGTTCATTCAACCACTGAACATGATCTTGAGCCCACAAATATCGTACCTCTCGATTTCCTCTCGTTAAGGGTTGAGCTATCCAGGGGCGTCTGCTTCTTAAGTTGACCTCTCTTAATCTATTATGAACAGCGTCAGGACTAATGGTTACATTATGTGTTTCCTGGAGAATTGAATCCGATGACACGACGATCCGACGGTGCTCCTATTGGTCGAAATATTTTGACAACAATTTTTATCCGATAATTTTAACTAATCATCCGACGTCGTATAAAGTTAAATTTTGTTTAACTTTTGTACGATATCGTGTGCTTTTTTTAACCTCACTTTTTTTTTAAAACATTGGTTTTTAAAATCAGGTTTAGTGGGAAGTGGGCAATTTCGGGATATTTGGCGAGGAAGTACTCCAATAATTCATGGAATAATACATAATAATAATACATAGTAATTACAGGTCTAAATGTCCAAACTGTCAAATTTCGGAACGAACTTTCGGATGTATGTGACAGGCTTTTTAATTTCACACGATAACTTCAAATTTCGGATGTCGTACCATCGATTTCGGATGCATGAGACTCCGGCTTTAAACTAAGCTCTGGTGCTGTAAGAGTCGGTCGGCGTCGAGCATTTAATTGTAAAAATAATCTGGCGTTGTATTTAATGCTCTAGCTACGTCGATTTGGCGCATTCCAGCTTCGAGCATACCCATGGCCCTTAGCATTTCGTCTCTGTTAAGATGTCTACGCTCCATAATGTCGTTTAATACTAAACAGAGTTATTTGAATAAATTCTGGCCAGTTATCATAAAAACATAGCCAGTACAGGTTAAGTTCGAACAATTGATGCTAGGTGCTTTTTATACATTTGACAAAAAATGCACAAACACTTCTGCAAATATCCCAAATTTAGAAATAACTAGTGTGACTACTTCTTTCAATCGAAGTAGAAAGAATCGGCCTACAAATATGTGGTTGTTTATTCAAAACATTTATTTTTAACTTTAATAAAACGAAATCCCTAGATTTTTCCGGTGTATGTATTATATTATTATAAATATTATTTTGCAAAATTAAAAAACAATCTTCTGTAGGCGTATCAAAAAATGAAAACCTCAAGTATATAAATAACTCTAATATCTTTTTTTTTGTAACAAACTGAAGACATTTTCAAATGTATTTGATAATTGTCTGTTATAAAAATTAAACATACCTATTTTACCTACCGATCAGATTGTGGCGGAAACTAATAACACCAACAAACTTCGTTAGAAATCACATTTTTTAATATTACAAGCTAGCCAACCATATTTTATTAATCGAGTTGCATAAAGAAATCCATTTTGATAAATGCATCACTCAACGCTTTCTCTTTTGCTTTTTCAAAAGACTCGCCCTTTCCAATTATAACAAACGGAGTGTCGATTTTGAGAATTAGTGCAGCCAGTGGTGGGTTTTCTTGAAAAGGTAAAATTTCATAGCCCACTTCTAGCCTGTCTAAAATTTTCTTTAAATTTTCTTCAGACGGAGTTTGAAGATCCTGAAAAATTAATAATAAAATGGAATGGAGGGTTGAAACTATTTAAAACAGCTGATTAAAGCTCCGCCTACATGTAAAATTTTACCTGTCAGCAGGGTTGTAATTACAAAACTAATTTTCTACGTCTGGACATGTAAAAAATGGAGAAAATTAGTTGGTGTAGAAAATTAATTTTTTACGTGTAGAAAATATGGTAGAAAATAAAAAAAATTCTACCTACCCAACCCGGCCTGTCAGTCTTTCCTGTTCAGTATGATCGAAAAAAAAACGGCATCCAGTTGGCTTGGAAACGATAATCAATGACATTCCCCATATAATTTTATATATAAAAGATATCTTTATTTCATAGCCATCGCTGACAAGTTTTTTTCGATCATATTGTATAATAATCAAAGTGAAACTGTTTTTACCTCTCGAAAATCCTCGTATCTAAGATTTTTTATATCCATCAGCTTCTTCAAAGTATAAGGTAGCTCATCCATCTTTACACTTTTATCGGGAATTATGTCCATCATCTCATTATAACTTGATATAGCTTCTGAGTCCTTATCTTTTAAAGCTCTATCTACTTCGCTAAATTCATCTATTAAATCTGGTATTAAATCCTTCATTCTGGAAAAATGATTATAAAACATAAATTTATATTTAATACTAAAAAAATATTTTTTTATCAATGCACCTTTCTAGCATCTCTTTTGCTGCCAACTGTTTCGCCAGTTTCTTGGTATTGGCTTTAGCTTCCGTCATTATCGAGGCAATTTTACATTCAAAAGTAAATTCCTTGGCGTGAGGAGGTCCCACACTGGAAACTTCATTAAATTCAGGTGCCGGAATTTTTTTTTCTATGCATATGTTTTGCAATTCAACTAAAAACAGAAGTGCACGTTTGTATTCAAATATTTTTGATACCATGCCAAGATATTAGTAAGGAATATATATTTAGTAACATTGCAAAAGCACAGTGAGAATAAAATCCGATATAAAATGATACAAACCTATGCAATTTAATGCAGTTTTAAAAGGACTCCCACCACTTTCTTTAAAAGGGACTTTAAATTCGGCCACTGGATTTTCAGACGGCTTATAGATGCCCATTTCTTCCAGGATTTTCAGTGCGTTATGTGCGGCATCATGTTTCCCTACCTGTTTCGAGGGTCCAGTTCCACTGGCTGTAATTCCAGCTACAGCTACCATATAATCGAAGCGATTTTCGTGCGTTCCAGAATTACTGAAGACAATCTGAAAATCGGGAGGAGCAAAACCCTTTTGAATTGTTAGCTCTTGTAAGACCATTACAGGGGTTTTCGTTATTGGTGCCATTTAAAAAAGTGTTTTTAAGGTATTTCCTTAAATAAAATACACAATATATAATTAATTACCTTATTAAATGAGGCATTATAGCATACTTACGTGTAATTCCTAGGTAATAAACTTTATTCTCTTGAAGTAAAAGGAGTACCTGTATTTTTTTTTTAATTAAATATTATAAAAACCACTATTCGGGATATAAAAATACGAATGATAGCGTTTTTCTCGTAGTAAATAAACGCGTCCAGAGATGCGGTCAGTATACTATTTATATTTATGAATAATACGTAAATTCTTATAATTTCCGCAATTCTTCCACCTATTATAACCTTTAAATTTGAAATATTTCATTTATCGAATGTAGGCAACTAAAATTACAAGCAAATTTAATAAGTTGCATACTGTTGTCAGTCAAACAACAGTTTAAATACATATTTTTTTAAGTGTTTCTTCAATCAAAAATCATTTATAGGCTGATCTTTTTACATCTTGACGAAAATATCTATTATTTTGAATGCAAATTAATTTTCCAATAGCATAAATCGCCGACTCGTAACCTAGATCGAAAATAGATATATAGAATTTCATGGTTCTTGAAACACGTGTTGTTCAACAATAATACGACTTCCTATAACTGTTTAAACTATAAATTTATTTATAGATCGATTAAATTGATACGAAACAAAAATAAAAAATGATTTCATTGGGAATACATCGGTACAGCCGTATAGAATATTTTTATACTGAATTTTCAATGTTTAGGGGAGTTCTATATTTAAAAATGCATCAGACTCGACAAAAATAATCGCGCGAACATTTGAAAGCTCTTTTTTCTAAAAAAAATCTCGTATAGGATGTAATAACTAATTTTTGTTAAGACAAACTTACTGATATACGAGTAGTGTAAAGCCAGCTTAATGACAAGAATCTTTGACAAGAATAATAAAAATACAGAATAGGCCATGGAAAATCTGACGCGCTCTGAAAGTTGCAAGCAGGCGCACTTTTTTATATTTTCATATTATTTTACAATGCGACGCTGAATCACAATAAAAAAATTAAGAAAAATACAGAATAGGCTATGGAAAAACAGAAGCGCTCGAAAGTTGTTAGCAGGCATTCTTTTCGTGACGCGATGGTGAAGCGCGTGGTAATATTCCGTAAAAGAAAAGTTTTTTTTAGTTTTTTTTTAATAAAATCGATTTAAAACTTCGAATATTTGTGAAAAATAGTGCGGGCGATTGAAGAAATATGATCTCGTCGTCTGATCTTGATTAAGGTAAGCAAAAGTTAGAAATTTAATGAATTTTCTAGAAGACGCCTCTGAAGACGCCTACCCTCTAATTGATATAATAATTTAGAACATTTTAAATAAAGAATATATATTTTATTATTACAAAATTGGCTTAAACATGTCACTTTATAAGGCTGGTAATATTATATATAAGATTAAATATAGATATTTTTTATAATCCTACATTATTTTTTGGATGTATTCATTTAAGTGATCTAACTGATCTAAAAATGATCCAGATCAGTTTTTTATGTTCCGTTTTATATGTAAACTGTGGTAATTTTAGATCAGTTAGGTCATATAAATGAGTGATATTGAAAATACTGAATATTGCTTATGGAATTTCGACGGGTTTCGACGCCATCAATAAAATTAATAATGACAAAAATATGAAATATTTATAATATTTTGTGGTACGTAATCAAATTGTTTGGAACTAGGTATTTGCGTATTATTATACACATTTTAATTACTTTTTGCTGCTCCTGATTAATAAGTCAGTCTAATTCTTATGAGCTATATTGTATAATATGATAAAATAAATGAGTTAATTATTATAATAAGGCTTTAAAGTAATATGTTGAACAAAGCTGCCGATTAGACAAAAAATATTTCAAAGGCTATTTTAAGTTTTTTCGAGATTTTTTTCTATGTCAAATCAATTGAAAATTTGTTTTCTTGTTTCTGGCAACGGAGATAAAAGAAAGTTTTTGAAATGTAAAGATTTTTTTTTAAATTTTCAAAAAAATAGGCGTCAGAGGGAGCGTAGAAATGACGATTCATTCTCTATGTAAAATTATACAGTGAATGTCTTCTATAATCAGTCAACTTGATGTAATTTATATTCGATCATACTGTATATAGGTGAGATTTTTCTAGAAATTTGCAAAATATACAGTAAATTTTCGCTGTTTCATTTATGCAATAGCCCGTCATTATTCTGTTGCTTCTTTTTTTTTTCATATTAAATATATTTACACGGCACAGTTCTACATGCATGCTAGCAGTTTGTATACAGGGTGATACAATAGTCTGAAAATCTCGATATCAAATTTCGTATTTTAAACTTTTTATGCATGCAGAGAGCAATAGCAGCACACATTTCAAAAATATTTGCATATATACAGGGTCAGTTTTGAATAAGTGCAAATATTTTCAGGGCTGGCAGATCTCGATTAAAGAAATATATTTTCTTTTTACCGTTTTTCAAATAAGTCCAAAATAACGAGTTATTTTATTTTATATTCCATTTATTTATTATTCCAGTGTCTACGCTGATTTTTAGTCCGTCATATCTGACAGGTAAAACGTTACGTGTAGACGCGGGCTTTAAAGTCGACGCAACTTATTTGACTTTTTCCCCAGCTTACGCACTTTACGACACTGTCCCACTGCGTCGCGAGGCGCCAAAATATCCCGCCGCCGACGGCCGCGAAGCGCGGCAACGTCGCATTTGCGCGGCATGTGTTTCGGACTTTTGAAAAAGTTGTGGCGCGACCGGCATATTCAGTTCTGTGCCGCTCAGCTAGCGCTCGCAACTAGCACCAAGAGCAGCGTGTGTGTGTGAGACCCCCAGCATCTCTGGTCCATCTCACGTATAATAATATCGTCGGTGGTCCCAGTAATCTCTGTCACCATCTCTGATTTTTTTCGGGCTTGACACCATCGCAAACGAGACTTTTCCGCGGGAGTATGACTTTGGAAAGTTTTAAGTGAACTGTTGGAGTTTTGAGAAAGAAAAACTTTTTTCGCGATGGCTGTACTAAGTCGTCGGAATGTGTGGGTGTGTTTGGGAGTTGTACTTTTTTGTGGTGTGCTGCTGGGCACGGCGCTGGCAACGGAAGACTTTGAGGTATTTTAAGAGCTTTTCTGCGAATCGGACCCAGACGCGGTTCTGAAAAAAGGATGCCGCGCGCTTTCTTTATTTTTTTGCGCTACGGCTGTAGGATTTGTTCTTGGTGAAGAATACGTTGTTTAAATTATGTTTGATACAGTTTGAAAATATTCTTATTATACAGGGTGGCCCGAATTGTATTCTGGAAATTTCGGCAGCATATTATGCAGATAAAAATAATTAAAAAAGTTTGGGGGCAATACCAAAGTTTGTATGAATGTATGCCCTAATATGCTTACTTTCGGAGATACAGGGTGTAAACATTTCATTTTTATTTCGATTTTTTCCAAATAATTTCTGAAGTAACGTCAATATTTGGATCAAAATTGGTGTCTGGGGGTTTTTTGACATGAAAAATTTGATTTTGATGCCAATATGACTCCTATTTGTAGGGGGTGCCACCTACTATTATGTTTTAACTGTTTTGAAGAGTAATAACTTTATGTATTAAGAGTAATAACTTAATGTAGGAGTTATATTGACATCAAAATTAAATTTCGTGTTTCGTGCCAAAAAACTCCCAGATACCAATTTTTCTCCAAATATTGACGTTACTTCATAAATTATTTAGAAAAAATCGACAAAAATATGAAACTTGTACACCTTGTATCTCCAAAACTAAGCGTTTTAGGACATACATTTAGAAGAACTTTTTTACCTATTTTTATTTGCAGAATATGCTGCCGAAGTTTCCGGAATACAGTCCGGACCACCCTGTATTTTAAATTATTTTAAATTTATGATATTCTAATCCAAGAAGAAACTTTATTTTTTATAGAACTTTTCAACTTTTTCAAAAATACTCGTATAAACATCAAGACTTTTTTTCTTGTTGTTAAAAATAAAGACCCAAACTTATAAGAAACTGAATAAAATTGCTTTGTATATACCGTATGATCCAAAAAAAAACCGGCGTCCAGTTGGCTTGAAAATGATCATCAATGATATTCTCTGTAAAATTTTACATATAAAGTTACAGTCATCTTCATTTCATAGCCATCGCTGACGGCGTTTTTTTCTCGATCATACGGTATTTGTCCTCGTTCTTGAACGAAGAATATGTTTAAATTATGTTTCATTCCGTTTAAAAATATTTTTATTACATTTTAAATTTAAGTTATTCTAAAATCCAGAAGAAACTTTTTATTTTTAACGGAACTTTTAAAATTTTTGAAAAATACTCGTATAACATTTTTTTTTCTTATAAAGATAAAATAGTATAGTAGTTATAATAAAAAGAAACTAAAATATAAAATTCTTTTTATATCTACCATACTCATTTTCTAAAACTTTATTTTCTCATTTAAAATTGAACAATGAACATAATAAAGAAAACTAGTACAAACTAAAAATAATTACTACTAAAAAAACTATCATCATCATTATCATTTTCAGCTTATTCAACCATTTTCAATTATGGTGTAGACTCCCTTATATATGGATATTCTCTTTGTAGTTGGGTCCATAGTTGGCTATTGTTGGCTATGTGGGCCCAAGTTAATCCCATCTCAAATTTGATCTTCCTCTAGGTCTCTTGATTCCTCGTGGGTACCATACTGTAATTTAATATGTTAATATATTTATAAAATGTTAATATATTTATTAATTTCAAGCTAAGGGCCGTGTAATTCAACATTTAGTTAGTTTACAATCATCTTGGTTTACTTACATATATCGCTAATCTATCTATATATCTTTTTATCTATTCTATCATCAAAAATAAGAGAGTTATAGCCTGTTAAATGCCAAGCAAAATAATCCCCTAATATTGTTCATACATCTTAAAACTATGGTATTTTGTTATTGATATATATATATTTTTTTTAAATAGTTATTTTAACACATCTTCTAAAGCACCGTTTCTATACTTAGACCGAACACAAATTCCCGTTTTTTAATCTCTAGATAATATCGTTACATCATAAAGATAAGGATTACAAAGAGCACTCCAACTAAAATCGTTCATTAATTAGACAAAAATGTGGTCGCGTATAGCGCGTAAAGTTGGCAACGCGAAAAAAGTTTCTGCCGTAAAGTACGGTTGAAGTCTCTAAAGTTCATTGCCTGTCCATGCCACATTTCTGCAAAAACGTAAATCTAGATCAGTGGCGCGACAATATAATATTCTCGTTTGATTTTAATTGATAGAAATTATCTCCCAAATAAGAAAATCTTGGGTTTTTTATAGTTATTTATGTATCAAGGGATTTATAAGGGTGTTAATTACTGAGGGCAATATATATCTTGTAATCTGCCATCACTTTCACTCATGATTCTGTCAATATGTTTGGGTTAAAGAGTCACATTGAAGAAGGAGTAGTAGTAGGAAAAAGTTGCATTCTCAAATTTGATTTTATCCGTGTTTTTTTATTTGTTTATTGTGTGTCGTTTATTCATTAAATGGCAATTAATTGGATTAGATTGCAGTCTTTGAATAAGAAGACTAAGGAAGGAGCATATCAAAAATCTTAGGTACACCGCGATGGGCCTCAAATATGGCCGACTTAAATTCCGGTTTATCAGTGTCGTTCTAATTTTATTTAAAAAATGTAAAACTATGATGTAAGGTAGACGTGGGGTAGACTCAATAATTTGTTGTTTTATTTTACGTTGTGAATAAATGTTGGTAGTTATTAAAATTGTTATAAAAATATATAATTCTAATAAAAATAGATAAGTTATAATAAGTATTTATTACCAGAAACATCCGATACGCTACTGAAGCAGGTAAGTCAAATTAACGTATCTAAATTCTTTGACATCTAATCTTTGACAAGTAATAAATAAAAGCTAAAATGCAAGAAAAATATATAATTTAGTTAATTTAAGTGAATTTCATAAATGATCGGTTTATTACACGTATGTATATTATATAGTCACTTACTAGCGAAAAGTTGTTCCATTATTTCACTCAATTTTTGCCGAGATCTACCGCACGCTACACAACCAACTATTTTAGAGTCTTTTTCGATAAATCGCGATAGTGTCACTGTTAATTTGAGTGCTGCCACAATTTCCATCTAGATTTACTACCTTTATACAACTATCAGTAGTAAAATAAATAATAAATAACATAAAATAAGCTCCGTAAAGACTGACAAATCCACAAAATTTCAAATCAAATTCAAATGTGTCAAATGAATCATCAAACAGAACTGTCAAGGATCCCCACCCTAGAGTGCTTTTATGGCGCTTTTTCCGCCCACCATGCATGAATACATGGATAGCATTATGCTCCTTCCTTAGTCTTCTTATTCAAAGATTGCAGTTTATTAATAAAAAAAAAACGCGTTGACAGACAGTCAAACGTGTTGACAGGACAGTGAGTTTTTAATAAATGTCATATAGTAGTCAGCTTGACAGAAATTATTTTTTACTCGATTACTTGGTATTTGTTTTATTAGGATAGATATTCATTACTTCATATTTATCATGATTTTATAATGAAATGTTATTATTAGGAATTAAGCAAAATAAAATTACACTAAATCACCACAATACACCAAAACACTTTTACTTTTACACTGGACGCGCGTTTCGCTAACCATGTTAGCATCATCAGCAGATGATTATAAACTAATAGTTTATTTTGCTGTGTAACACCAAAGGTTCCAACCCTCAACTGTAATATTAGGAATTAAGCATAGACAAAATTTTCATAGCCAAGTACGATATTTTAATGTTGCAAAAATATCAAAGTAAAATATTGCTGGACACTGTTCGCATGTTACGCCAATGCTATGAGGCGACTAAATCGTTTTAAAATATGTAATATGAATAAATAAATGACGTGTTTTGTCTTACGTTTCGTATAACAGGAATTTCGTTTTGTGTGTAACTATTTGTAAGGCACAGCACTTTTTAAAACGTACTTGTCATCCTGTAACCATACCAATTTACTAGAAAATCAGGTGACATAATTTTTATGTTGAATTTAATTGCGGCATTTATATTTTCGAAAAAAAATAATTCTTTTTTTATCTAGTTTTTTCGCGATTATTTTATCGCACTACATCTAATGACCCTAAAATTAGTTTTAGATAATTATCTATTTTCCAATAAATAATAAAGTTACTGATTTACAATAATTATCATACTAATTATTTAATATCTTATCGTTAATTAATTAATGTTTATTAATTAAATATATCTTAATTTCAAGGGGGTGTAAATCTGACGAGTGTTATACAGGGTGAGTCTTAAATAAATGCAAATATCTTCAGGGCTGGTGGATCTCGATAAAAGAATCATATTTTCTCTTTGCCGTTTTTCAATTGAGTACAAAATAACAAGAGGGTGCCCTATTCAGAAATAATAATAGCAAAGATCTTAACTTGTTCAACTCATAGATAAGGCGTTTTTCGTTAAGCTTTTTTAAATTTTGATTTTTTTTTTATTTTACTTTATAGTTTTTTTTTAATTTTGAATTTTTCTAAAATATGTTACAAACAAGCAACTTCCAACGAAAAAACATCAATAAAACTACTTTTTAAATTAGAAAAAGTCCATTTAAAAATATTAATTAAAATATGAAACTAAAATATAATGTAAAAACTAAAAATATGAAATTAATTAAAAGATGAATTATTCAATTGTGAACAATTTTTTTTCCAAAATATGAAGTATAGGTTTAAAACCAATAAATAAAACATACAAATCAACGAGAATAAATAAAAAATATCTGACTCAATGCGGTTTTTATGGGTACCCAACGACGGGAAGTACTGATTGGAATATACATATATATTCTCTGTCCGGTCGGGTACGGTACCGTTGTGATTTTTGGCCAATGATGCAGCTGGGCTAAGAGTGCATTCACACTCATTTTGGGTAAATTGACCTCCGGTTTCTTTGTTCCCTTTTTTTCGAACTGGTTACGAAGCGCCCAAGAATTTCGGAACATTTAAATGAACGATCTTGTCGTTTTCAGGTATAATGTGTGAAAAAAATTTAGAAGG